CCCCAAAACCCCAAAACCCCAAAACCCCAAAACCCCTTTTTACATATAATTTATTGAAATATATAATATTTTCTCAGTTAAAATATCTGACTACAGAATTGTAAAGAATAGCTAATGGATAAAGAGATATCTAAGAAGTGGTATTTAAAGATTATAGATCGATGAAAACTATCCTTAGTCTACATATTAAGCTAGATCTAGTTCATTCTTTTATCCATATTCTCAAATAATTCCATTCTTTATTCTTAGTACATTTATCTATGACTTTCAGGTTTCCAACAGTGAGGTGAAGCCAAGTGCCTGCAGAGGCTTCGAGCAAGCCTTTGCTTGTACCAAAGATTTCTGAGCAAGAGAAGAGGGATGGTTGGGGAGTAAGGAGGGGTGTGGGTGCAGGGAGAGGGGTGTAGGGGAGGTTTAGAGGAGGGAAAATAGAGGAATGGGATATTGAGGAATGAGAGAGCTAGAAGACAAGAAATGCTTGGGATAAGTTTTAGGCAATTAGAATGGGAAATAGTGGTTAAGTGTATTAATCCGAAGGTTACAATTTACCTAAAAATGCTATCTTTATAATTTGCTAGTCAAAATCTCTAAAATACCCATGACAATTTACTTCAGATTTCCCAGCAACCATGACTTAACTCACTCAACAACTCTCTCACTCAAAGAACCCTCCTTCCTCCTAAAATTAGGAGAAAATAAACTAAAGTACTTCTTCCCTAACTTTTACAGAAGGAGCAATCTTTCTTTACCAAACCTAAAAATCAAAGCTAAGACCTACAAGTTGAACAACCAACAAGTCTACGAGAAATATGACCTTAAACAAGTAGACATCATGAGAAAACATTTTGGAAAATATAATCATAGTAAGTACATTAGTTCGGGATTTTGAAAAGACCACAGAGTTATATTGGAATATAGAAAGTAAGAAGAGGTACCAGTCATTAGGCTCAAAGTAAGTTTTGGTAATGATATTTATATCATAGCGAGCAGAGCATTTTTGAAAATAGAAGCTTGAAGAATTTGAAGATTGAAGATAATTTTAAATACTTAAAAGAAATGATTAAGGATGTGCAAGAAACTCAAAAGAAAAAGACTGCTTTGAAATCAATTAGAAGTAATTAAAGATTTGTTTTAAAGTTTAGATTCTCTTCCAAGTCTATCCATCCAATCCTCAGATAATAAACTTCTTAGTGACCTCAAAAGTACCTTGAATAAGCTAGACAATATCGACATTATCCAGATCTCTAAAATAAAAGAGAACCTGTACATACAAAATAGCAAAGAGGCTATCTCAAATTTTATTAAAACCATCAGACAATTTCCGAAAGACTCTTGGATAAAAATAGAAACTATTCTTCTCTGCGCTAAAAAGTATGGACTAAAATTTGACGTGCGCTCTCTCGTTGGATTTATATCCAGAAAAAGCTTGATTCCAGGAAAATTTCCTGGAATGATATAATCGAAAAACACATAATCCCAATCTTCGAAGAGCCTATCCCTATACCCCCAAAGACCCCCAAAAACCTGCCTCTCACTAGCCGAAGAAAGTTCACCCGCCCACCCTATCACGAAGAAAAGAAGAAGCAAAAGAAATTAGGTGAATATCTTCACCCTAATTCCCAAGTTGAGAGTAAAGTTTGTACGTAATTTTGTAGAAAAGAAAGAAGAAGAAATTAGCAAGAGAAATGTTCAGACTCAGAAGTTGATCTTTAAGATTAGTGAAGCCCTGTTTAGGGAGGAGATTACGGTCACTGAGTGGCTGAGTAGAGGTAAGGAGGTGGTGAGGATTTTTTGTAGGGATTAAGGAAAATCCGAGGACTTTGATAAGAGACCGTGTTATTGATGGACATGAATACCAGCTTATAAAAAGAGATAACTTTTTAGATGCTCTGGAGGAGATAGGTATTCATCCAACCCTTAGAGATCGTGATAATCTGAAAGCGCTTCTTGGAACGACTTTTTTGAATTTTATTGATATGAAGTCGATTTATAACATCTTCTCGAGACTTGGAATAAATGAAGATGTTCCAAAATCAACCAAAATGCTTAATTTTGATATCTTCAATGCTCATTGTATCCGAGTATACAATCGTATCATCCACAAAATGAATAAAGAAGGCTTAAAAGATATTGAAGAGTGGCTACCTAAAGAAATAATAGAACCGTTTCAAGTTGTCTCCCGAGACAAGGAGCATACAGTTATGACAATCTATGTTGAGAAATTTAAAGAGTTTTTATCACAAAAGAAAATAATCTCCCATGGAGAAGAACTTAATGAATTCTTAATCGAGTTCCTTGAGTTATCTCCATATCATGACCATTTAATCATGTTGAAGAAGCTGAAGAAATCATTGGATATTGTAAGTCGGAAAATCATTTGGTCTAGGTTAAAAAATCCAAGTATTACAATAGCTTTGGCATGTCTAAAAGAACAGGAATTATTCATAGAAAGAAAGATATAAGCCTACTTTTTAAAGGTCTAAAAATGTCTGAAGAAGAATTTATGATTATGAAGCAAAATTTAATGGAAATAGACGTTCGTAAAAATCAGCTAGAAGCTCTTCGAAAAATAGTAGCCATCTGGAAGATGAACATTTGTCGGAAGAACTCAATTCAGGACACTGTCAATAAAGTACTTTCCCTCTCACCTTTTAGGCTAAAGAAAAGTTTAAAGCTATTCTTCAAAAAGCGAAGCCCATCAACAAATTCCATGTTGCTGTGAAGAATGCTATTACTACTCACAAATCAACTTCTCCTTCAAACCTTGATCGAAACCCGGCTAGCTTCAGTCCTCCTAAACTATCGAGTCCAAAGAAAAAGCATAGAGATTCTTTGCTCAGTCTAGCTTCTGGTAAGAGCTATTTCGGTTAAATACCTCTCTTAATTCTGCCCCAACCCAATCACATTACATATATAGATATGAGCCTGAGCCAAGTCGGATTCAAGGTAAGTTCCTGAATGACTAAGGACTCTATAGGGATGCTCAAAAAACTTCCTCAAGAAGAGATTTGGACTAAAGTAGAAAGAAAGAGGAATGTGAGACTCTGTGAGATTTTAAGTTCAATTTTGGAAGATGGTGAAGGGGTTTTGGGGTTTTGGGGTTTTGGGGTTTTGGGG